GCTCCAGCTCCCGCCACGAGCCGCCGCTGGCATTGAGGAGGCCGCTGAGGCCGCGCGGAAGCGGAGGGAGCCCCGCGAGGGCACAGCCCGCGCCGGCCGGGGAGCGAGGGCCACGCCCGGCTCTAGCGGCTCCGTGCGAGGCGGGGCGATGCCGCTGGCCCGGCGCGGCCCTCGGGCCACCTCCTTTCCTAGGCGCAGCGTGATGCCCGTGACCCCATTTCCCAGGCTAGGAAAACAGAGACCCAGAAAGAGGAAAGGACTCGCCCCGTCCTCCCGAGCCTCCGGGCCACGGCGGGCTGCCCACGCCGGGGGGGCGGGGGACGGAGTCCTGCAGCCGGGCGCGGCGGACCCGGAGGGGGCGGAGGCACCGCCCACCGCGGTGCCCGGCCGCCCGGCACCTCCCCTGCGCGTGGCGGGGGCTGGCAAGGGGAGGAGGGCACCGACCTCCCACGAGCAGCTGGAGGTTCAAATCCCGACGTCCAAGCAAGCGTGGGCTCTCAGGCCAAGCCCGGGGACCCCGCGCCTCCGTCTGGGCTTCAGTTCAGTGGAAATCATTGTGGTTCCATCTTTTACAGACAGTAAAGGCTGAAAGCTGGGAGAGCAGACCTGGGCTCGTTTTTGTCAGTCTCGTCACACAGGAATCCGTTATCTTGGCAGGGAACCTGTGCAGCACGAATGTCCTTCCCGCTCCTCCCCGAGTCCACAGGGGCGTTAGCGGCCTGTCAGCTCCCAGGAGAGTCCTTATCGCCCGCCCGCCCGCCCTGCAGGCTGAAGATCCAGTTAGAGGGCGGCCCGGGCACCGCGGCAGCGGCCTGCTCGCACCAGCCAGCCACGAGGCTTCTGCGTGGACTAAAAGCCCGGTGCCTGCGAAGTCCTGGGTTCGAACAGGACTTCCGATCTGCCAGGAGACCCAGAAGGGCCACACCACCAGGAGGCAAGAGACTGGGGCAGGAAGCGGCTGGGGGGAAGGGGGCGTGGATGGGGTGTCCACACCCCCAAGTGGGCACGCTGGGAGCGTGGGGGCTTCCCCCGGTGGGCTTGGCTCTCAGGCCCAGCCCAGTGATCCTTCCTAAGAGGAAGCCCGTTATTTACACCGCTAAAGGACCCCGAGTTGAGGGAGGGGTGGGGGGACCCTGGTGCGGAGACCCCACGGTCCCCTAGCTGCTGAGTCTCTAGCGCCCAAGCTCCCGTTCCTATCTCCTTTTCAGGGTTAGTCTGGCCTCCAGCCCGCGGGCATCGGCTCCCGGGCTTTCCCGGAGGCCTGGTCTCCCCTCTCCCTGAGGCCCCTCGTCCCCGGCCCACCCATTTCCTGTGCAGCCCCAGCTCCGCCCCTGATCGAGGTGGAAAGTTTCTCTCCTCAAGATGGGCGGCTCCTTCTTCCTTTCCGCTGCCGCAGACCGGGAAAGTCCAAAGCCCAGTGAGGAGGGGGGCTGGGTTCCGAGGAGACCAGCCAGAGAGGGGAAGTGACAGGACCGCAGTCACACAGCTGCCGGGCCTGGCTCCGCCGGCCTGGAAAGCGCCCAACCCCGCTGAGCGGCCCGCAGCCGCCCCGCGAGGCCTCCACTCGGGCGCCGCGACGCCACCTGCCGGCAGCCGGCGGCTCTCACCGCCCAGAAGCCGTTGAGTCCCGCCCCGCAGCCAGGGCACTCGGGAGGGCTAGAGTATTTATTTATTTATTTATCAACACATCCAGGAAGTGGCCCCTCGACTGAACACATCTCCAGTCTGAGGCTCTGCCCTCCTGGCCGTGGGTGGTTGCAGGGATGGGTCCTGGAGTCCTTGTCCGGGGCAGTGGGCGCCCAGGACTGCAGGTGGCGTGCCCCTGAGCCAGCCGCTGCCAAGTAGCAGCGAAGGTGAAAAAGGTGGGCGCTAGGCACTCTGGGATCCGAATTCCAGAGATGGCATGGGCACTGCAAGATGCTTTGGGTCCCACCGCCAGACTGCAGGTAGGTTAAGCTGGGGTGCACACATATAGAAGAAGTGGAGGCCCAAGGCGGTAGACAGAGCCTGTCACCTAGGTGTCTACCCAGTGCCCGCTAACCAGGAGGGGGCTCAGCGGTGTTGCCTGAGGGACACTTGCCTCGCCCGGCTGGGGTGAGGTGGCAGAGCAGGCACTGTCCTCTGAGGACTTGCTGATAGACAAGTTCTGCGCCTTTTGCACGGGTGCGTTCCCACCCACCCTAACTCTTCAGAGGCTGATATGGAAGGCGTCCTGCAGCCACTGGTCCCGGGCATTGTGCGTCTGGGGCACCGTTAGGGGTGGCGGGTCTGGGGGCAGGCTGGCGTCCGGAGGCTCCTCATCATCAGACAGGCCGGCATCGGGCGGATAAGAGCTGTCTGAGTGCAGGGAGGAGGACAGGTCCTGGCAGAAGCTCAGGTCTTGGCACAGGTGCTTGTAGTCCTGGATAGACTCATACAGGCCCCACAACTGGCACAGCAGGGACATGTCCAGCTGCCGCAGCCCCACCTGCAGACAACTGACAGTGGGCTGGAGTTGGGGTCCGGGTCACCCCCCAGCCCCTGCCTCCAGAAATCCAAAGCCCCCAGCCCCAGGCCCCAGCTCTAGCCAATCTACTTGCACCTTCCTAAAGCAAAAGTTTGGGGAACAACAGATGGCACCTGCGAGCTATGTAACTTGAAGCAAGTCACAGATCCTCATCTGTAAAATGGGGTAACATCCATCTAAGCAGGATAAAGGGAACACGAGCAACATAAGCCCGTCAATATACCATGCATGGCTACAATTACTGCAAACACCTCCGAGTCCCAGGCTGTCTGCAGGTGACCCCCCTGCACTGCCCATTGTTCCAGCGCCCACCCACTCACCATTTCTTTGCGCAGTGAGGCCAGGGCCGAGTCGAGGTTGACCGGGCGACGCGCACCGACTGCAGATCCGGAGTTGGCAGCGCCGGCGGCATGGCGGGGCCCGTCGGGAGCGCGTGCGGCGCGGCTCAGCTCGTCGTGGATGCGGTTACGCTGGCTGTAGACGCGCTCCAGCTCCCGCCACGAGCCGCCGCTGGCATTGAGGAGGCCGCTGAGGCCGCGCGGAAGCGGAGGGAGCCCCGCGAGGGCACAGCCCGCGCCG